ATGGACGGCAGGACACGATTTATTCTCCCACATCAGATTCAGGCCACAGTTTAGAAATGTGGGCGTAAAAGTTGGGACTCCTGGGTCCTGAAGGCAGATAAATGTGCTGATTTGTAGCGTGAGGACAACAGAGCAGGACGGAGGAGAGGGATTTTATGATTTGTCATAAAATCATGTCTGATTTTATGACAAGACATGAGACTATGTTTTCTGTAACAAAACCAAATCTCAAATCAGCACAGCCTTATAGTTCTTGATTGTTTTATTTGGAATCACACATCAGAATGCATGCAAAACACAAAATAAATTTTTTTGTTTACAGCACATATATAGTGACACGAACATTTGGTTCTAGTAACTTTGCTGCATAGCATAAAGTTCCACTGTAATTCTAATATGACCTAAATATACAAAATAATAATAAGTATGTACATGGAAATATGTAAATCCTGGAAGATCTGATGATGATGATGAATACATTTATGATCTTGATCTGGCTAAAAATGAAAATGAGCTTTACACCCCTGAGCTAAACGCTGTATTTTCTGACCCTGTGTGCAATAGGAAAAATCAACAATATTTGCTTTTAAAATGTATTAAAAGGTGTACGGCCGTTCAAATGTATCAATTAAATCCAATATCTAATGTGATGAGTTCAGGCACCGGAAGCTAAAGAGCGAACCGTCGTCGACAGGATTCAGATTTTGCTCGAGTACATCAGGGTGTATAATAATAATCTTAATGCCTAGATAACATTCATTCAGTCTGAAAGATTAATCCCATTTCATAACAGCGCTTCCCATCCGTTTATTTGTTTTATATTTTTGCATCATCATCATCATCATCATCAGTTTAACCTCGCTGCCTGTCTCGGTCAGATTGCTTGCTGGGGCCTGCCGGGGACGAGGAGAAGAACGTGGACACGAACCAGCAGTACGCCATGGGCTTCGGCCACCCTCCGCACCCCTTCGCCCACAACGCCTTCCACGTGTGGGACCAGGACGACGTGGTCATCCCCCTGTCTCCGGAGGACAGCCCCCAGACCAGCCCGCTGCTGCTGGCCGCCATCCCCTACATGCCGACCTTCATGCCACACCCGCACAGCCCGCCGGGCCACAGCCCTCTGGGTCCCTCAGACAGTCCGGGACCCATCAGGGAGACCACCGTCCTCCCGGGGGATTTCTGAGTCAGATGACTGCGTCCTGTGTGTGTTAACTGTACGAGAACACGTGAGATGATCTGCAGCGGAAAGACTGCAATGGCCGATTGATGTTGTGCCGTCACGATTTTTACGGGAAGTGCTGTAAATTTGGATGTGCTGTGAAGCAGATTTAATCAGTTTTTGCTTTATTTCTGATCAGATTTAAATGTTTCAGATCATCCAGTAAATTCAAATGTTAGACAATCTGAGTAAACACAAAAATCAGCTTTCTGATCATGATTTTTTTTTTTTTGTTGTTGTTTTAAAGGGGCGGTATTATGCAAAATCAGCTTTGAGCTTAACATTATAACATTATTCCCTCATCAAAGACATTCCTGTAGTGTCGCTTTGATTCTTTCAGGCATGTCTGAGAAATCTTTTAATCTCCATGGCAACCATTGAGCTGTGCAAAACATTCGGTGGATTTAGGTCCGCTCTCGAGACACAGCTCCTCCTCGGAATTGCAGTTTCCAAGCCTCACAGAGCAGCCCATCACATGCTCAGCTCCTTCAGACTAGCCAGCAGCAATTAGCAAACACATGGAGGAACTGCAGAATCTGCTGAGCTACTTAAATTAGCCACTTCTCAGTGCAACAATTGAAAAACATTGGTAACGACATAGAGGAGCCATGCTGTGATGACTTTCTGGAGGCAGAATGTTGGCCAAATGTTTTTAGACATATTTCATTATAGCACTTATATAACAACTGTAGGTAACATACTTACTTGATTGTGCTATAAAATGGCACTGTGTGCCTGGAAAATATATAACACTGCTTTCTCTTTTCTCTGTAGAGTTTTGTTATTCCCCAGACAAAAACCAAGAGTGGTAACTTCTATACTTCTTGGAAGAAATACTTTCTGTTCGGGTTGACAGACTGCTCCATCTGTTCTGGCTTTATAATCCATTTATATGACAAGAGATTAGCTGTAAAAGTCAGAGGACAGATATAGATGTTTTCATATTAAAAAGGCATGTTGTACATACGAAATGCACTCCTTCTGCGTGGTGCTTGTTGAGGTTACGTAATAGGAGGTTTTGGAAGTTTCCAAAGCTGCTTCCATCCTATTAAGACACACCGACTGGCTGCCGGCGCTCTGCTGAGTGTTATTTCAAGGCACTGAGAGATTAGCGTACGAGGAAGACTTAACGGAGTTCTGGCGATTCAGCATGTGCGCACACGAGACGCCTTAATCCGACATTCCTTATCGCAGGTGTCGCACGCAGCCGTGGATTCCCTCGGTCTGACCCGAGCCAAACAATGCGGCTTATGGCACCGAGGCATCCGAGGTTTGCTAGCTACCGAGGTTAAGCTGTTGTCAAATACCAGCTCGCGGAAGCTCCAGGGCTTCTTAAGAAGAGGGGAAAATTGGAAATCCCTGCTTATCTTTGCAGCTGTTTTCCGAACCTCCTTCTAGAAGGTTTGCTGAAAAACAGCGCCCTGCGGAAGAATTTGTGCCGTCTAACTCCACAACATTTTTGTGTGTTTCAGCAAAGTTTCATATGACAGACTAAGAGTAGGACTCAAAGTGGAATAAAAAGGAAAAGACGTTCTTCAATTTAATTCAGAGAAAAGAAATAGGTAATAGTAAGTTGACGGGAAACAGCCTGGCGAGAGAGAGGGAAGGCGAGCAGGAAATTGCCCGAGACCGGAAGTCGGACCCAGGAGGACTAGCCTCTACACTTGGTGCACGCGCTCAACCTACTGAGCCACCGGGCGTCCCGGAAACTCGGTTTTAAAGATTACTATGATAAAACGAAAAATAGACTAAAACAGCAAATTGGCTCATGTTCATATAGATTTCAAATTAATACTCCATTAAAACTCGAGTTTTAAATTTATGGTTATCCTGCTGGGAAAAGGTTCTTTCTTCAAAAATTGACCTTTGTTTAGTTTTTCCACTTTTCCTGTTCCTACTCAAATCATCACCAGAGCATAATCGTGCCTCCCCCATGTTTCACTATGGGGATTGGTGTAGTCAGCCCTTTATAGTTAGTTTTGGTTTGGTTTGGTAGTTCTATGTTTGCTGCAACAGTCTTATGGCATTCTGTCAACAATATCTGCACTTTTAATTAACCATATAATAGTGCAATTTGACATTTTGAAAATAAATTAGCTTAATGGAAACAGCCGAAATTCTTGAAAAATAAGGGAGAAAATAATTAGTTGTTAAATAAAACATTTTAGCGCTAGGACGAGGCGGTTTTCAGCCCCGAAACTGGTTTATTTCACAAAACTGCGCATCACATGAGTCCCGTGAACAACAACCGGATGCTGCCATTGGCGCAAACCACAAAGACGACGACGACAGGAAGTAGTTGAAAGATGATGCACAAAAGTTTTGCACACATTTGTAATGGAGACACAGCTAATGGCTTTGTTCTTGTTACTCTAAGACCAAAATGTCACATGAAGAGATTTCTCCACTTGAGCAATGAATCTCTATTGACCTTTAGAGAAACCAATGCTTATTTGATGAAATCACTAACATCTCGCCTAACTTGTCAGATTAAATTACACACAGTTGGACTGTGTTCAGTAATAATTCAGTGGCATCAAAGTAAAGCATGAGCTTACGGAGGTAACCCGACGTCTGACCTCTCTCTGAACTTTCCTCTCGAGCAACAAGCGGATAACGGAGGTACTACGTTGGGGCATGAATGAGACTCAGCAGGCAAACTCAGGCGCAGCAGTTCCTTTTATTCTGTGAGGTTATTCTGGAGGAAAAAGTTGAAGTGAAAGATGACAATAAAGCAATGCCACTGAAGAAGGTGTTGGAAAAAATACATATGCATGTAGGTGGGGATCATGTCTAACCCCGTTCTGGTCTTCACATCGCCTTCCAAGAAGCTGGAAGGACAGATTTAATCCAATATTCTTAGAATCCCAAGCAGATACGTCTGCCAGACAAACGGATCTAGCAGAGAGAATAAAAATAGGGTAGTAATTGGCATTAGGAAAGAAAAAAAAACAAAACAAAAAATAGAATACGTGACAGTCTGCAGTCACAGTTGTTTTGGGACTTTGTCAAGTTTTGACACCGAGTAAGGCAAAAATAGTTGACTCAGAAATCAGGATGAGCAAAAATTGAATCTGCTCAAGTTTGGAACAACAAATCAATTGAAGAAAGTTTTAACACTAAAGAGTTCAGGAAATCCGTCCCTTTAAATAATGCAATGCCTGCTTTGTTTCGAGCACCGAAAGGTTTTTATGGACCATTTTAGATAAATGGATAATAATAAATAAGGAAGAGGATAAAGAGCCGCTCCAAAAAGAAAATAAAAAAATATTTCAGACTTTTTATTTCTCAAAATTCTGACTTTTGATCTCAAAAAGTTTAAAATCAGAATTCTGAGAAAAAAAAGTCAATTCTTTTCTTTTGTTTTTCCAGTGACCGTAATGCTTTTCTGAAAATAAATTGGTGACATTGCTTCAACTTTGAGTTCCTAGAGCAAAAGTTTTCACACTCAACAGGTTTTGAAGTGTACTTGCGTTCAGCTCTCCCTCTTACTCTCACATTCATAAATGAAATCCAGTGTGCAACATGAAAAACTAAATAAAAAAAAAAACATAACCTTTGGTGCTAAAACCCCATTCCTAATTCTAAATTAGCTGCCTTTCATTCTGTGAGGTTATTCTGGAGGAAAATGTTGAAGTGAAACGTGTTTTATAGTTGTGGCTTTCCAACATCACAGAGATTAGGCTAACCAGTTTATTTTAAAGGTGTTTGAATAGCTTTTTCAAGGAAATATATTGGTGTATGCGACAAAACAGACTTTTTAAATAATGACAGGTGATGGGGTTGCTAGAAAAAGATTTATTTTTCTTCTTTTTTTCCCTGTACAAATTGGACAAGACGGTGCAGAAAGAGTTTGCTGGGTGTAACAAAGATGGAGGCCACTATTACGCTACTTCTGGGTTGGGTTGGAAATCCCAAACATTTCCCCCCACCTTTCAGACTTTGACTAGGACAACCCAGTGGGTGGAGGGCTTTCCACTGTAGAAATGTTTTGCGTGGGGCAAAACGGGTCCGCTCCAGGCGTGGGTAATGTGATGAGGGTGAAACTCAGGAGTCCAGTCGGCATATGGGGCTGTCGTAGACCATCTGCAGGTTCACCTTGTGTCCCACCAGCTCTCTGATGTTGTTGATGCCGTATTTGATCATGGTGGGCCTGCGGAGCAGAGGAGACAGCCGAGTGAGGAAGAGGAAAACGCTGATGGAGCGACGGAGGAGTCTGACCCGAGGGTTTTAAATCAGACTAATTAAAATGCATAACCCCATTTATGGGGTCGTCTGCTCGTTAAAAACAGACCGGGTCTCTGGTTCTGGCTGTAGCGCTTCAACAAATACAAACAAAAACTCTTTAACAAGAAGCTAGCTAAAGTAAGATGGGTCGACCAGCTGTAAACCACGTAGGAACAGTTGCTTCCCCCTTTCACACCTAACAATAGTCACTGCCAACTTTACTTTGTTGCTATATATTTAGCAATTTTTCAGACAAAAAAACCCAAAAACAAAATCTGTATCAGCTAGAAATCGAATCCATAGGTCAGGCTTATTGAAATACTGGTGAGTGGACAGAAGTCCGTGAAAAAAGCGACCTTGTTTTACACTTTGCAGCGAGTGGCTCACCTCTCCAGAGACAGACCCCAGGCTATCACCGACACGTCCTCTGGGAGGCCCATGGGCAGCAGCATCTCTGGCCTGAACACCCCAGAGTTTCCCACTTCCACCCACTTTTTCAGCCCTGAAACCCACAGAAAGACAGGAGAATAAGACTCTACATGAAATGAACATAAGGATAAAACGAGAGCAGCACAGTTGACAGAAACATCACAAAATGTGTTTCCTGGTAGATCATTCAGCAGTTAAAAAAAACTTAAAAAGTGACTTATTTCAAAACTTTAGCATCAAGTTTAAGCTTGTTTTTAATAGAGATGCACCGATGCACTATTTTCACTTCCGATACCGATATCTCGGATTTATTATACAGAAAAACAAATTGACTTAAAATGTTTCTGTTTTTCTTAAAAAACACAGAAATTAAAGTAACTTAATTACAAATGTATTTGCTAACTCTGCACCAGGACATCACACTTAAATTCACCAACAGCTCCACAAGCCTGGTCAAACATGGAAAAACAACTTTCATTTGTTCAGCCACTGGAAAGTAAATAACTAAGAAACTGACAAAAAATTAGGTTGATTATCTTGGGCAATAAACTGCAACAACATGATTCAAAATGTGTAATTATGAATGTAGAATAAATAATAAAGCATTCAGCATAGAATTAGACTGAATAGATCTGCCCCCATAGGTCATTCACATTGTAATTGATACCCGATTTAGAAGCTTTTTCAATATCAGGACTGATACAAACTTTAATACTGAATCGGTGAATCTTGTTCTGATCAGATATTAATTTCTGCATATACATGTAAATATTTGATGATATAAGCTACAGATGAACACAGAGCTCTAGCGTACCTTCATGGTAGCTGAACACTTCCATACTGGGCTCTGTGTAGGGGTTGTAAGCTGGCTTGAAGCGCAGTTTGGTTATTCCTGGAAGAAAACAAAACATTTATGTGACTCCATGTCTAAAGAAAATTTAAGCTGAACACAAAAAGAGGAAATTCAGTGTTAATTTCCACAGTAACCTCTGATAAAAGGTTAAATCGACAGCACTAATGCTGTGGATTTAGTGAAATGTGAATACAGATGTTAGTTTTTCCTGTTATTCTTTATCCAATCCCAGCTCTGCTGCTCTCATCCGTACCTAGTTTGGTGAAGAACTGGTGCAGGACCCCCATCAGGTCCCCCAGCGTGAGGCCGTAGTCGGCCACCACGCCCTCTATCTGGTGGAACTCTGCCAGGTGGGTGGCGTCCAGCGTCTCGTTCCTGAACACCCGGTCGATGGAGAAATACTTGACAGGGGTGAACTTTTCCTGGAGGACGAGACCGCGTCAGGAGAGGTGCATCGTGGGTGATAACAGTACAAGGACAGTCATAAAGAGACTGGATGGAACTGATTCATTTTTAAGAAACAACAGTTGTGAAACAAAGGTAAGCAAGAGAACTGGTTTTTGGTAAAAAAAAAAAAAAAAAATCACATTTAAAGTCTAAGTCTAAGTTGACTGCCACTACGACAAGTGGGCAACAATTTAATCTACTTATTAATATTTTAACAGTTTCATCAACACAGTCTGGCACAACCAGGTCTTATGAACATTCATAACAGCCCATCTTCCTAATAACTGTGTCTGTCTGGAGACCTGGCTCCTTCGTGCTCATTGGTCGGTGTGCTGCTCACCTGCTGTGCTAGCTTATACAGCATGCGCGCGCTAACAGCTGTAGTGTGCGTTCGAAGGATGTTCTTCTGAGCCTCCTCCATCTTCCAGTCGTATTTGTACCTGAAAGGCAGCATCGCGTTGACCCAGATCTGCTAAACAACTCAACGTCGGTTAGCTAGTTTGGCTAGGTTAGCTAGCTCTCACCCTTGCGAGCCGTAGCCGCCCTCTGAGTGGACCTTCTTCACTCTCTCCAGGTAGTCCATGGGGAAGTGGTGGGCGAGTGACGGGTCTGAAACCAGACGGTCAGCGGTCAGCGGAGAGGAGCAGCGGAGGAAGAGGAAGCTGCGACTGAGACTCACCGGACAGGAAGAAGGTGTCGTGCTGGTCTCTGGCCGGGTGCTGCTGAGGCTGGAACAGAGAGTCGAAATTCCAGAAGGAGCTCTCGATGAAGTTGTTGGTCGGCATCTCAGAGAAACTAGAAGGAGAAGAGATTCGCGTTGCTCGGTTTCAGACCGGTTGGTGAGCCGTCGTTTCCTGCGTGTCGGTGATGAACAGAGTCTCACCCCATCTCCAGGAAGATCTGCCTGAACTGCGTCCGCACCTTCATCAGAGGGTGGAGGTGTCCGCAGTCGGGGGCCACGCCCATTGCCTCAAAGTTGTAGGGTTTAAACTTCTTCTCTTTCCAGCTGCCACTATGTCACAGCAAAGAAGATGAAACATGTAACCACACCCTCCTCCTGCTCAATGTAACAGTAACCTAGCTCCTGTGCCTGGAGGATACAGATGCACCATATATTGGCACTAATACCAGTATTGGTCCAATATTAGATATTTATCACATCGGTATCGGCCAATATTTTATTTTTTTCATTTTATTTTTATTTTTTTTACATGTTTGTATGTTACGATATCAATTTTTTTTAACATACCGTATTGGTCCGATATTAGCTATTTTCTAAAATATATTTTTTGTTCCTAAAAACACAATTGTGCCAATATTAGCAACTGACAATTATTTCAATCTCACAATGATGAAGTGTGGCCAAGGTGTTGAATATTTCATGAAAAATATATATTTAATATGTCCTTGTTAAATCTGTAAATATCGGTGTTAACAGTAATATTATCGGTACATTTTTTCCCATATCGGTGCATCCCCAAAGGTGGATTTTTTAATCTGCCACTCAGGCGACAGAAAGCCTTATATTGATGTACTTATAATACGTTTTGGGCACATCTGGATGCTGCTGTTAGAAAAATCTGACCTCTAGAATATTTTCAAGCAAAGCAAGACGCTACTGAAGGGATTTCTACAGGACAGGATTTAAATATGGAAGCTGGAAAAAACATGGAGGCACGAAGACAAATGAACAAACATGGAGGAACAAATGGGAGGATAGAAAAGGGAGTCTGGAAATCTATCGTTTTTTTCTTCTTCGCTACTTAACCAGACCTGGAACAAACTAACTCCGGGCTTTATTTAGGACAGTGAATCGGTTTAGCAGCAACGCATTCAGAAGGACAAACATCCGCCTGTCCCGCTCTGCCTTTAGGACCAAGGTGTCCATAACTCTGGACCCGTCCCCATGTTAGAGCAGACGTTCCTCTGCGTCCTCCGTCTGAGAGCCTGACCCCGCCACCAGGCCGACGGGGAAGGCCAGACCGGACGCCGTGTTCGTCTCCACACACACACTCACACTCACCTGGCAATCATCTCAGGAGTCAGCTCCGTCTCCTGTTTGGTTACCGTGGTGCTGAAGGAGTTTCCCTTTGTGATCCAGTAAGACTTAACAGTGCTGAACAAATAAGAATAAAATGACATTCTGGGTTATAAAATCAATACAATGTGTATTAATAAAAACACAAAGTCTAAAAAGCTGAAAACCTTTGCCAACATTAATATTTTGATTTTTTTAAAGACATTTTGAGTTGTTCTAGAGTTTCAAGCGTTTAGCAAAACTTCATGCACTTTATCCTGAAATCACTCCCAAACTACCATGTCTGATGGTTGCTATGGAGATTTGATTACTATAAGATGATAATGCTGTTTTCATATCATATTAATAACCCCCCCAAAAAGCAACAAGATTACCAATGATCAACTAAGAAAAAGGTGAAATACGAATTTTAAAAATTAAACAATCCTCTTTAATTTATTTTAAAGAGGACTGTCAAGGCTACCAGTAAATTTTCTTAAAACCACAGACTGTCTTAAAAAAAAAGATTATTTTAAATATTTAACTCAAATTAAAAGTCTTTTTTTATCTCAACAGTGAGATGATTTAAGTAATGAAAAACACATTTCTTAATATATATATATATATTTTTTTTTTTACATATTTTTAACAGGGATGCCAATAAATGTCATTGGAGCTGGAAATCTGTTTCCCTTCTTCACCTTAAAGCATGAAAAATAATCACACATCTGCTCATCACTTGGAGGTCTGAAAAGGATCTGAACAGCAGTAAAATGCCGTGTTCACTGAGCTCAATGGGGAAGATTTGCTGAGGATAAAATGAGTTGGAGCTGCTTTGCGCGTGTGCATTTTGGCCGCCAATTGGCCGGACTTCTTGGGTAAGAGGATTTGGAGGGAAAACATAAACCCACAGCATATTTTTTTTTATTATTATTTTTTGTCATCCAAAAACCAAAATCCAAATGTTCCCATCCAAGCTCAGCAGAATAATCCTGAACTCTTTTACATAATGCTGGATAGAGAAACACTGAAAACAGTGAAGTTATGCAAGCTGGAGAGGAGAGCCTGTAAATCAGAAGGCAGTTTGAGATCAATAGATAAAAGATCTGATCAAACCTTCTGCTGCCCCCTAGTGGCAGAGGAATGACCTACACTTCAGCGAGGAGCTTTCTCTTCTTCAGCTCGTTCTTCTCCTTCTCGTCGAGCCGCGCGGCGTCGCCCCGTTTGGCCAGCAGCAGCTTCTCTCTGACCTGGTCATGTATGCTCTCCACCTGAGGAAACGGACGTAGACACACCGTCGCCTTGAACAGAACCATCACGCTGGTTCAGAAAGACCCGGTTTGGTGCGAGGGAGGGCTTACGGTTCTGAATATCCTGGGGCCTCCGTCGTGGGACTTGTCCACGCGGATCCACTTGTTGGACATGGCCTTGCTGAAGCCGATCTTCCCGAAGGAGAGTTTCTACGTGAGAGACACAGAGAGGGCAATGACGTCAGCTAAAATAAACGGCTCCGTTTCTGCAGAGTCAGTTTTAAAATATTTTATTGTATAAAAAAAACGTACAGAAGTTTACACACAACGAATGAAAATGCAGACGTTTGTTTTTTGTCATCGTTTGATGTTAAATCAGACAAAACGTCTCTTGTTTTAGATTTGTTGGAATTACCAAAATTATTTTTATTTATGGTAAATAAAAATAAATATAATTGCCACAATTATATTTGACAATAAACAGCAAATATGTTTTTTAATAGCTTCTGACTATGTAAATAATTTGCACTTAGAAGCTCATGAGTTAGAAAATCCTTTATGGGATTTTCTAAAATGTGTGTACCGATCATACACTTTTTAACATTTACTGGAATTTCATTTAAATAATTAATAATAATACTTTAAAATACTGAGGTTGTAATGCCAACAATTAAATCAAAAATAAAATAGCTTAAAAGGGTTCATAAGCTAAATCAACAATAAAAAAGTGGCTAATGAAATTAAATAAAAAATTTTGTAAAGTATTTTAAAACAAGTGATTCTTTTATGGATTGGACTGGATTTCTGGCCTGTTTTTTTAGGTTATGTTAAAGTAGATTTTGGTCTCCAATTTGTGTTTTTTATTTTTTAAGATATGCCACAACAAAAGCTTCACAATAAATCATATTATACTTGTTCACTTGCAATATATTCCATTTCTAATAAAATTAGTTAAATCTAATGCGTGATAACTACTTGTTTAACTAATTCAGGTGAAATTAGCTCGAGTAACCTTTAATCATTAGTAGCTGCACAGAGGGAAGCTTTACTGAACCAGGTCGGGAATCGAACCTGCGACAGCTGTCTCCAGTACAGAACCACCCGGTGCCCCCACTAATAGTTTATTTATAGAAGTAACTGAGTACTTTATGTTTTGGACATTTCCAGCTGTAAAGTGCATTACTGAAGAAACCTTTATCCTTAGCTATGAAATAGAAACGTAGGCTAATTTATGGATAAGGTGAGTTTATAAATTAAGTCGCATGTTTTAATTGGACAGAAACAGACACAAATGATGACAGTTTACATCATCATCATTTCAGAAAAAATAACTACAACTTATAGAAATAAATCCCTCACCATGAGCTCAGCCTGTGGCAGACCCTCCAGAGGGATGGAGTTGAAGACCCGGGCTTCATGGCTGCCCTGCTCGGCTATCTCCGTGCCCTCCTCGGTCAGTTCCCAGTGTTTGGAGGAGCGCAGCTCCGCTGAGATAACCTGGACAGCAAAGAGCAACAGTAACTGTTATCTCACCCGAAAATAACCGAGACCGGGGGTTATTCCTCTCAGCTCCTTCGTTTAGCTGACTTATTTACAAGTCCGCATTCTTTAAAATCCCATTGCATCAGTCGCGCTAAATGTTGACAGTGACACTCCAACTTCCGCTGACTCTCAGGCCGGAAAAACTCACGTCGCCAAGCGTTTGAAGACTCTTCACAGCTCCGACGATAACCTGGTGGTCCACCCCGAGGCTGGCTGCCACTTCCTGGCTGTCCGCGCCGCCGTCCACCTTCTCAATCCGCTGGAGAAACGTTTCCACCACACCGGTGTCCGCCATGCTGGAGCCCTGTGGTGCCCGAAAGAGACGGGATGTGACGTCACGATCTCAGTAGCTTACGTACAAGTCTCGTAGGGTATGCCCCGCCATATTGAGAGTGGCATATACTCATCAATGAAAACCTTAAGAATAGTTAAAAACTGAGTTCAGCGAATAAAGACGGTATTTGCTGGTTATGTCATATTCAATTTCTCAGACACTAAATTTTAACTTTTCATTATCTGTAGGTGTAATTAATAATCAAGTTTAACTCTTATTCCATTCAACTTTGTTAAAATTTGTGTTTTTTGACGGAGGTAAATTGTGAGAACCAAAATTTAATTGAGATTATTTGAATTTTAACTACTTTAAGTATTAAAGTTCATAAGTTCAACATCTTACCTTAATTTCAATATTACATGCAACTGTAGGCTTCATTAACAAGCTGTTAAAACTGAACTACATTGAGAGGTTCAATAATTTCATACGGAGGTTAGCAAAAAAGATGGTTAACAGTACGTCAACTATAATTAACCACATTACAAAGACCCAATCTGTATAAACAGACCTGTTAATTCAAAATAAAAAGGATTTATTAATACAAACACTCTGTTACACATTAACAAGAGCAAAACCCCACCCAGTTTAAAAGCTACATTGAGCAGAGATGTGAATTTAACAGCAGAATATATGTTCCAGTTATCTTCGAAAATCAGATGGTGAAGCCATCACATCACCTCAGGTAAATAGCAAAAACAGTAAAAAAAAAAAAAAAAAAAAAAAAAGAAAATCGCAGCCACTGCTGGAAAGAAGCTATCGGCATACATTTTAACGTTACCACAAAACGGAGCAAAAATAATAAAAGGTGAAACTATTTTTCACATTTGTTCAGCCATTAAAAAACAAAAACAAAAAACAAAAACAAAACTAAAGTCTTGTCTTAAAAATAGGTTTTAGGAATCAGTATTCATATTTAGTGGTAAAGACCAGGAACATAAAACAAAAAAAATGTAAAAATAAATATAAACAAAACTTTGAACTAATCATACTGAAACAGACCACTAACTTCAACCACAGCTCGGATTCGACATTTAAAAAGTCCACTAATCTCAAAGTGTGCCAACATGTGCTACAACTAAACCCGAAAGCACATAGGAAGCAGACATGGAAAAAAGGCAAAGAGCACAGGCAAGTCTTCCATCGCTCTCTTTGGAGAAGGGTTGAGACACTGATGCAGGGTGATTCACGGGCCCAGTGGAAGCAGCCTATCTGTACTGGTAACTCATGTTGCTGTCCCCCCTGCCGAAGCCGGGGTACTGGGTGTGGTTGGTGGGAAAGCCCTGGTTGCCTCCTCCCTGTGTGCTGTAATTGGTTTGGGGGGTGAAACCTGGAAGCAACAAAGAGAGGGGTTAAAAAAAAAAAAAAGTGGGAAAAAATATTCAAACTTTTAGAAGGCTTGTTTTATGAGAATAAAACAATACTATAAACGCCATAACGCCGTGTTGGATCATAACCTACAGACATTACCACTATTCTTCCATACGTCATCTGCTGCTGTATTTTTTGGTTTCATTCTCTATGCTCTTTTTCTCTTCAGCTGTTTTCCCTCAACAATAACAACTTGGTTAAATTCTTCAACAGATAATACTGGTGCTTGACCGCCGTGTTTAAAAATCCACTAACCCTCCAACTTCAGAGTTTGTGTCGCACCAAAAGCTGCTGCAAGTAGTAATGGCGCAGACCGCTTTCTGGGGAGCTTTCGACACACCAGGGAATCAAACCTGTGACGTTTCTAAGGTCTATTTGTGACTCTACAGCAGCTCTGCTTCTCACACAGCAAACGGTTCTCTACAGTCTCTTAACCCACATACTACTCAGATTTCTTGCAGCATTGTATCGTCACCTTCCTAAAGTAATGGCCAAAGTAAGTTTTTGGCAAAAGTGATTTTGGCAAAAAAGGGGAAAAGAAATCACCACTTGTTTCTTTCCAAAAGATGCTTTAGGCAAAAAAAAAAAAAAAAGTCTTACTTATAATTTTAGGCAGTTGACAATATGGGTTGGCAGTAGAAGTGATAAAATGCCGAAGATGAACGTTGTTCTAGAAAAGCTGGCTAGCTATGAGATACGATATTAAGACTTGTGACTAACATTTAAGGGCAAATTAAAAAAAAAAATTCAGTCATTTAAATCCTTAATGTTAGATACAGACTTTAAAGGGATGCACAAACTGTTTCCTGCATTTTCACATGAAAATTTCCCAGCTTTATTTTTGATCATGAAGTGTACAGACAACATTTAAGTTATTTGTAGCACATTTTCCAACAGTATTTCTCAGTACAATGCTGAACTTTTCCAGACTGCGTAAGGACCGTTTTTAAAGCTTTAAAACCGATAAAACTCACCTTCATAACTGTACTCCTGGTTACCCCCAGCAGCAGCACCTGCTCCCCCCGTCACCTGGCTGGGGTAGGCAGTGCTGTAGGAATAACCACCCGCACCCCCCTGGTTCTGGTTGAAACTCTTCTTCGCTTGCCCGTACTGGTTATACGACCCCTGCCCTATGGAGATGTTTGACTGATAGCCTCCCAGTGGACCACCCTTCTGCATGGGCGGTTTCTTTTTGGGCATTTTGTTGGCTGCCGGGGCAGCGTAGGACCCTTCATTTTGATAATATGACCCGTAGGAGCCTGGAGCTGGTGGTTCTGTGGAGCTGAATGGAAGTCCGCCTGAGAGGCTGCTCGATACCCCGGCGCTGCCATTTGCCCCGTCGTCGTAGTAATCTAGGGAGCGACAGCATAGCACAGGCTTAAAAATGGGGGCAGATATTTTGTTCGCTCCAGCTCGTGTGTCATAAACAGGCAACCAACGACTTAAGTCAGTCATGAATGCAACATTTATTAATAAAAAGAACATATATAAAAACAGCTAGAGTGAGGAAATCCTCTCACACCAAACACATTCTTACATCGATCCAGTCTGAGCACAAACAAGCCTCCGTCCGTCTTTGCCAGCCGCAGATCAGGCAAGAAGCAAACAAAAACTAGACAGTGCCAGAGTAAGACCTTCATGCAGCTAGATTATTTCTAACTCTGCGGTGCTAACAAGACAGGGAAATAACAGATTTGATGAGAAATAATGTAGTTTCCTTAAAATGAGGTCAATCGTGGTTGGAAGTGACAAGAGACACACAGTTAAAAACAGAAAGGAAGATGTCACGAGTTGTTTCCATCTAAAAGTGTGGAGGCGGAGACGTCCCGAAAGGCAGTACGTGTCGTCCGGCTCCCCACTGGTCGTCCGGACTACGAGAAGACACTGAGCTAAAAACGGGTCTGGTGTGTTCAGGTGCATCCACGGGTACAGAGGTTCGTCTTATGGCTGCATGCATGCAGTGGAGGATCGTCTCCCCAGAGGTGGCTTGGACGTGACAAGTGGGATTGGCAAGACAGGTTAGATGGAGTCACTTTGTCCCCGGGGGTTGTGGACTTGATGGTGACGCGACTTTCTGATCCCGCTGGAACACTACTGAGTATTTTTGTCCGTTCAAATCCTCTCAACAGGTTTTTGTTTGTTTGTTTTTTTATTATTTTCTAACACTGGAGTTAGGGGAGGGGGAGTTCTATGTCGCAAACTCGGGGTAGCCATAGTAGTCTGAGACAAAGTCACCTAAAGAGTGAGACAGGGCAGAGAAGGGGGGGGGAACAAAAAAAATATATCAAAATTAGATTATTTTGAATTTTTCTTCTGCCTTAAAAATGGCAGGCTGTGTTAGGTCAGATTATGTCTTTTTTTTCTTTCTTTTTTTTAATTGTGTTGGACATTTTATTTTATTTTAATTTTTTTTTTTAGATTTCTCTGCTCCTGTCACGCTCAGGTAGGTCAGTCTTCAAACCAGGCTGCCAGAATGAAGAAAGGGAAACTCATAAGAGGAGGCTTGTGGGGAAAGAAAAAAAAAAACCTGATTCAAACCCTGTGGCTTAAAGCAGAGAAATGTAAAATCACTCAGCTAGGATAATCCCAGCAAGGCATTAAGGAGTTTTTGTTTTTTTTTACAGAAACCGGACCCCGCCTCCCGCTCTGGTGCGTTGCAACAAGCTGCAGGATGTACAAGCATCTCTGCCAACCCAATGCCCCACACTGTTCATTTCTACTTTCATCAAGAATAAACAGATAAAACGTCAAACAGCAACATTAGAGGTGAAGAAACTAAATACTCACTGTAGCCAGAGTTGGTGTTGTTCCCATATCCGTACGTTCCAAATCCACCTGACGAGGAAAGCACACGTTTAGTGGCTGCAGGTCCAGTTAAAGTCCACGAAGAACAGGAAAAGAAGGTTCCTACCTCCTTGGCCGTAGCCGCCTCCGTTATTGAAGCCTCTGCCTCTTCCGCGGCCTCGGCCTCTCCCTCTGCCTCTGGGCATGCCGGCGTCCAGGCCAAACGGCTGGTGCTGAAATGGACATAAAGATGTTTTAAAATTAATCATATAAGAAAAAATAACAACAAATGTACCCTGCTGCGAGTATTCTTAATCCTTTCTTGTTGTTTTACATCCGAAAAAAGTATAGGGACCCGCCGATCGCTTCTTCTGGCCAGTCAGTGATACCATTTTTATTTTATTATTTTTTATAACTGATAATGTCAGGTAGTTAGTTGTTCCAAACTCAACTTGTGAGCGAAGGTGAACGCTGGTTGCATTTTCATTGACCATGTAGGTAATTTGGGCAGTTTGACATTTCGAAAATAAATTTGCTTAATGGAATCATGGCGATTTAGAAAACACTTTTGGTTTTCGATAAGTTTTGCCACTAAGATGAGGTGTTTTTTTGTTTGTTTTTTTTGGCCGTATAAAAACTGGTTAATTTTTGCAAAACTGCGATGGAATAACTTTTTTAGCATCACGAGTCACATGAACAACCAGATGTTGCACAAACCACGAAGAAGACGACGACAGGAAGTAGTTGGACGATGATGGCGTGCCATATTTTTTAATGGCTTCGTCCAGAGGGTCTGGACCCTCAGCTGTTGAGAAACGATCTTTTCCTGCTTACCATGGGCGGTCCCTTCTTCTTCTTAGCAGGCTCAGGAGCAGAGCCTTCAGGAAACAGCTTCTCCAGAGCAGCCAGCGCCGCGTACGCTTTGGCCACTTTCTTATTGGAGCCGGTGCCCTGAAACTTCTGCCCGTCGATCTCCACCTCCATGACGAAGCGCTTGTCGTGACTGCCGCCCGTCTCAGAGATGAGCTCGTACTTGAGGCCGCGGCGCTTCTCGTTCAGCTCCATCACGGGGTTCTTGCCGTGTTTGGTCAGGATTGGTCCCTGCTGGCGAGCCGACTGACGGAGAGGAGACGGGTGAGGACAACAGGTCTGACTGTTCAACACCGTCTAATGTCAGCCGACGCTTACCTCGGCAGATTCTGGAGTGGCGCCGGGTGCGGCAGTGGACGATTCGGTGGGGGTTACTGTTGGCTTCACTTCTTCTGCAGCAATTGCTACCACAGTTTCTTCCAATTTCACAGCGACTTCAGTACTTTTCAGTTCCACCCCGGTGGGTAGGCCCATGTCCTGCAGCACCTGAACACAGCCAAAGAAATTCACTTTCATGTAGATAAAAACAGCAAACTACCATGTATAATGGAGATACATTTTGCTCCAAATAAAGTTTGTTCAATTTTGTTTTTTGACACACACAAAAAAAAAAAAAACGTAATCCGAAAAGAAAAAAATTAGACAGGGAAAAAGAAATTTGAAAATGATTTTTAAACTGAAAAAAATTTAACCAAAAATTGAAGCTGAAAACAAATCGAAACAAGAATAAAACCTGCAACTGAAAAGAAAAAGAAAAAGTAAAAAAAAAAAAAATTAACTGAAAAAAGATTTGACATGGAAAATAAAAATTCAAGTTGAAAAGAAGACATTTGAAACAAAAATTAATTTTAAGCATTTTGAAATTTTCTGTTTCAAATTTTCTGTTTGAAAACAGGAAACTTTTCATTTTCAAACTGAAAAGTTTGAAAATGAAAAAAACAAGAGACAGGAAATAATTTAACTGAAAAAAAAAAAGGTTAGGAGCTCAAAAATGGGTTGTTTTTTTTTGTTTAAATTTTTGAACTAAAAAAAAAAGGTTTGGAAAAAAAAATTCAAGTTTCTTTTTTTTTTCTTCAATTTTAATAAACATTTTTGAGCAGATGTATGACCCAATCTGCTCCATACATGTATCTAACCACACATGTAGGAATCTGCGCTCACTTTGACAGCCACATGCAGCTTGGCGGTTCGCTTGGATGGACCAGAAGCCTCAAACGTCTTCCCGTCCACCTCCACCGCCATAGTGAACACTGGAACATGAACTGGACCGGTTTGAGATATCAGTTTGTACTGCAGACCTGGTTTCAGCTGATTCAGCCTCATTAGGGCATTCATTGACTGAGCCGGCTCCGCCTTTTCTTCTGCAGCTTTGGGAACCAAACAGAAAAAGGGTTTTCAGTTTTCATGCCCGTCCAAAAGAACAGAAACAGTGAATCTACGTTTCCCAGTGCTACAGGAACACTTACATTTCTTCTGCAGCTTTTTCTTCTTTTTGTTTGGACTCTTATCATCGGTTCCTTCTTCTTCTTCTATAGGCCTCTTCATAGGTGGGGCATACGCTGTGCTGGGTGGGATTTGCACTGAACAACACATTGAATTATCCCGTTACAACAAAATCAAACCCAAAAGCTGCTCTTGTTGCTGTAGTATTCCAGTACCTGTGTAATCAATCGGGGTGTCGCTGCGAGGCTTTTTGGGCATCTTTGACGGAAGCGGGTCCATTCCGAGGACTTTGTGGAGCTGCCCAAAAGCCGACAGCCTTAAAGCGTGCTGACGGCGGAAGAGATGGCAGTTTAGTAAATCACAGGATTAATTAGCTGAATATGTACAAACGACTTCGCTGGACTCACCTGAGCGCTCGCTGTGATGTCTTCTCTCTGCTGCTGATCCAGGTGACCAATGGCGTCTGTGGCGTCCTTCTCACATGGGTCGTAAATTCCAGGACCATCTGCAAGATGGCAATTCAGAATGTTATTTGAAGTGAATTAAAAGCACAAAACACCTCAAGGGGACACCCAGGAGCTGAGTGCATACCTATCATGAGGATCCCCGAAGCGAGACACTCTAAAACTCTCCGCAGAGCTTCGCCTGCCCCCATTGGCCTGTTCCCTGTGCCGATTGCTTTCTCACAGATCAGCTCCAGTGGCTGTGAAGCACCAAAAGAAGTTAACTCCCTGACGGGATGATTCTCTGCAGTGTTACTTCAACTTTTTGACTTTTTTTTTTTACTTCCAATGTGTTTAAATGGACATTTATGTAATAGAGATTTGCACTAATCTGGTCACAATAAGTGAATAAATCAATTGATTGCATGATAAATTAAAATTAGTTTTAGAATTTCCATTTGGACAATAATCGGCCCTTACCCAGCCACGAAGCGGGGCCCACGTGGGGACTCGGGCGCACAGGTCCCTCAGGATGCGGATGACGATGACACAGGAGCGCAGCCCGTTGGCTCTGGCCTGGAAACACAAGCAGGAGTGGGGGGGATGGGCGAGATGGGAGGTGGGCAGTTTTAGTCAAGAAGAGACGACAACGTGAGACAAGCATGATCAACACCCACATGTAACAGAAATCAATAAAAATGGAGCCACAGACTATTACAGCTTAGCTTTGTCGTTATGGGAAATTTTCCCCAGGTGTTAAAGGATTGCTTTGTAAGATCGTATGAGCATGATCATATAGTTCACAAATACAAACAACTGATGGTTTAGTTATCAGGTGTAAACAAATTCTGACTTTGGAAGAGGAGGGGAGTGGAGGGGACATGCATCTAACAAAGATCAGAAGAAAAGAAGTGAATAAAACCACCTCAAACTCAATTCTAGGCCAATGTGAGAAACAAGTTAAACCATTACAAAAAGGCTGTGCAAAAACATGTGCCGTCACTTTAAGAGAAGAGGGATTGGGGGAGGAGGTCACGGTTGAGTTAGAGACAGAGATACTTAGAAATGACTCGAGGTGCAATATTCCTGTTGAGTTTGTGGCACACACACTAACAAAAGCAGCCAGGAGAGCAGGAGAGGTCGAGGCCACATACTCTACACTTAACAAGCTGCTGAGATGGAGCACTGACTGTTACAGCATGACAAGCCAGAGGTGACACAGGCAGCAGGACTATGAGGGATAAAACACAGTTAACCACATGGAAACAATTCGTCTCGCGTGCCCTCTCGCATGGGCCAACGGAAAGAAGAAGAAGAAAAAAAAAGAAAAAAAACGCTCGGTAAGTAGCTTGCCTGTTTACAGTTATGGGGAAACAAAAAAAACCCCGACTCATTCACAGCAACGATGACGTTCTAGAAATATTGCACCTGGATGCATGGCTATTAGTTCCTGGATTTGGTTGATTGGAGTTAAAAACGAAACGTGTCGCTAAATGAGCAAACGGATGAAACTTAAAGGCTAAAAGCAACAGCTTCTGTTTGGTGTCAGTGTTAACTGGCAGAGAACCTGTAAAAGTGAGCGAAGCGACTGAAGCGTGTGATGACACACATATCCTAAAAATACAAACACCCAAGTCATCAAATTATACTACAGGAAGTACACCTCAAAAGAGGAAACAAAAACAACAAAAAAAAGAGAGAAAATGTAAGAAATTTTAAAATAATATAAGAACAGAGAGCATAAAACCAAACTCAAAGCTACATCTGTTTTAGAGACAAATAAAGACAAGATTCAAACCTGGAACCACTTAGCGTGGCGTAGAGATGCCAAGGCAGTTAGGCATTTCTGCCTGTCCAGAACATCCGGGGGATCGATGACTGAAAGCGTTTCTATTGGCAGGTGGAATAAGAAGACAAGGTACAGTTTGACCAAGGGGAGTTCTGTCAGCCGGCCAGGGGGAACACAGGCAGCCTTCCCAAACCACAGGCAGGAAGGGGGAAGGGGAGGGGATCCCTCCAATGGAGAACGGCCCAAAGCTTTCAGCCTCCCAGTTAATGTTGTTTAACAACTCCCTTCCCCCCTCCCCCACTAAAAGAACAAAACAAACAAACAAAAAAAAAAAAAAAAACAGACACCTGAAACTTGAGATGCATTGAGAAATTCGATGGTGGCCAGAACTAGAAAAGTGTTACGCTTCATCGTTGGTCGGAAGCTAAACATCCTATCTTTGTTTTCTGACAGTTGATGCATCACAAGTTCTACTAAAACGGGCTAATGTTGCTCTTCAGTGTGAACGTTTTTTACAGAGCGAAGACTCAAACATACTCAGTTTACAGTATTGTACTGATGTGTTTTTTCCCCCCAGAGGTATGTCGGCCTTTTACGAAGGACAACGCAACAGGAAATTAGGCGTCAACAAACAGGAAGCTGATTGTTAGAACAGAGTTTTTCCATTTTATCCTTCGGACTTATTTTTTAACATGCTGGATTTAAAAACATTGGAAATATTACGCTTCAGACAAGGGTCTACCAACTCTAAAGGAAATATATAATACATTCCCTGTAGGAATTAGCATTGAGGATGCTAATCGCTAATGAAAGATCCTTAGGGCAGATTGAAACAGTCTCTGAGTGATCACAGTCTTTCTTCTATGATGTCACATTTCATGGGAATATAAATAGTAATTAATCATGACAGAAAGGTTTCTGTGTGGTTACAACAAAATGAAGGATTTAATACAGAAGCATCTTAAAGCCTCTCAAAAGGTCTGTTGTCGTTATTTTTGTCAAGTAGCCTGGAAGATTTTTACTGTATCTGAAGATTTTCAATAATGCTTTTGTTAAAACGTTTCAGTTTTTATATCATCGATTTCATTATTAAAGTACTTACAATTTTATCCTTATCCAGAAAGTGAGATAGTTCTCACATAGAACTAGAAGTTCTACATCAGTACCAGCAGGTCGGAGCTTTTCCAAAGCCGAAGACTGAAAACTGGCCATAGAATTTCTGATCGATGCATCCCTATTTAAAACCCAGCATACTTGCAGGGTTGTGTCTTAAGTCATAAGATGTGTAAAAACTCAAAGTTAAAAAAAGCCATAAAATTATGTGAAAAAAAATATTAAAAAAAAAAAAAAAAAAAAAAAAAAGAAAACGTATCAAATGGGAGGTTGTCTCCACGGTTGTTTCAGCTCAAACAGATGCTTTCTCTCCAACACTAACAGGAAGTGGAACCCCTCCCCTTGGCCCCCCATACTGGGTACACTGCACTTTGCCCCTTCCGAGACAGAGAGCGGCCAGTTGGTCAAAGGTCCAGCGTCCCTAAAAATTGACAAACTAGAAGGCTTGACAGAGAGAATCAGAATTGGAACCACAGGCAGAAATTATCAGATGCACAAAAAGTGGGTATCAAAACAAGTCCACACTGCAGCAAAACTGATGGCTCAGAGACGAAGGCCCAAACGGGGCGTCGCTGTTAGTGCAGGGCTACAGATAAAGTCAAGGCTCAAGCCTTGCTGCTGTTGAGCACTCGGACTAAAAGGCAGAAACCAGAGAGCCTGCTCTTCACCAAACTGTTCATTCAATGATGCTAAGCTAAGATGGGTTGCTAGGACCTCTACATGCCAAATTCCTGTGCCCCTTGTCATTACCTGTAACCTTGGACCTTTCTTGCTAAGAAAAAAAAACACAAAAAAAAACAAGACAGAGGCGGTTAACAGGCCACTGCGGGGGTCAAACAAAGACTTTAGGTTTTTGCTACTCATTTTTGCTGCAATGCAAACCGTTCATCATCAATGATAAAAAAACACATGCAAACACAGTGGTCTCAGTGGTTTTGTATTCAGGTAAATTCTCAGTAAGCCTTCATTTCATTGGTTACCTGCTCTTTAAAAGGGGAAGAGAAACCATGTCTTCAACAATAGTTACACTACCTGCCCTTTACTGTATATTGGGCCATCAAAAATGTACAATTACATTACATGGAACTACGAGAGTGTCTAGAGAGCTATAAGCATAGCAGGGTTTCATTATCTGAAGGTCTTCTTGTCCCCTAGCTCCATTGAAGGCCCAATAAACAATATCTGTCTATCCTCGCTGCCTGCCTGGCCTCGCAGCTGGAAGCAGGTTAGCACTAATGAAGGACGGGGGTCTTTGTTTGGGGGGGCTTACCTCCAGCGGTCGCCTTCTCTATCTCTTCGCGGACTAAAGGGGATGTGAGGTGAATTGTGAGCGTTAGAGGGGGCTCCTTTGTGTTGTGGATGATGATGCTCGCATTCTGGATGTCCTGTGTTACTATGTATTTGTCTTCTGTGATCGTCTGGGAAGAACAAACGGGGAAAAAAGGTCAGTTGGCCTCTGGAAACACGTATTAGTATCTTTGAAACGAAACAAAAATTTGAGTCACACCAACGTTTGACACCAATTTGGTCTGATTCACTCAGGTCAGTCATACCTGCAGCTGGGCAAGAAGATTTTCAGACACCCTTCCCAGCAGACTGACGGTGGGCTTGTCCTTACAGAGCAGCACCAGCTCTAGGTCCAGGTCTCCTTTCAGCAGCAGACCTTTAGCAACCAGACCCACCCTCATAACGCCACGCAGAGTCCGAGTGGCCTGATCCTTCTGCTCACTGTTAGAAGACGAAGCAAGTTAGACGTCTGCATCGTTGTCAAGTAACAAGAGGAACGTGCAACCTAATCTATCCTGACCTGTCTTTGTCACCATCTTCGAATTCAGACTTTGTAGTTCCCTTTTCCTCCTTATCCAGCCAATCAGAAACGGCCTTAAGAGCCCGCTCTGTGTGGGAGACCATGTTCTGGACGCTCTCCAGCTCCTCCTGTGTTGGATAGATGGCCGAATGTTTGGCCATGACGTGGCGGTCGCCGTTCATGAAGACACGCATCGTTCTGTGGCGAACGAGGGGAGGCTGGGGTTGGAAACAGGAGAGGGAGGATATGAATGAGGAAGTTCTTCAAAACACATGATAAGTAGAAGCAGCGTGGACTAAACATGGTGCATGATATACAGTACAGGGAAACCTCTAAACAGGAACTCATCTGAATCCAAGGTTTTACAAACATGGCTGCCTTGTTTACAAATTTTCTTCCAAATACGAACGTGTAAAATGTCAATCAGAAACACGTGGTCCAGGACACATCTAGGGACTAGTGTCCTAAAGAAACCGATATCAAACAGGAGCAGTATTCAAGTTTGAGTGGCTATGAATCGTGGGCCTGAACATAAATGGTTTTATTTGATGATTTTTTTTTTTGTTATCACAGCAGTATTCCAAAGTATCGTAATAAAACTAAGACTACGTTACCCACCCCATACAACTGTACTGTATGGTCCGTGTGCGCTCTCTCTGGCTCTGTATAATAACAATGTCATTAATGTGGCCTTAACATTTTAAACTGCAGGAAAAAATAAGTAGTAAAGAACCAGTTTCTTTTCTGTTGCAAAATCGTGACACAATTTCTGTCAGCGTTCAAAGCAGTTGGTATGGAAAGCCGTTGATGCCACAATTTGTACATTTGTGTTGGGTTTTGGGAGCTCGAAGGTGGAGCTCACCACCTTAGGGTCCATAAGTCATAGTGAAAGTTGTTAGTCCTGTTAAAAAAATAAATAAATAAAAAATAACGTAAACAAATAAATGAATTATTTAAAACAATTCTATAATCTCCCATTTGTGCATACGATTCTGTAGCTTAAATTACTAGTGTTAGGTTAACTTCACTGCCTGGCTTTTTCTTAAATAAAACAACCTCAAGAATTATTCAAAATATTAAAAAAAAAAAATTAAACAGACTAAAACCGATTTTTGATCATTTTAGAATTGTCTCAGAATTCCCATGTTCTTAAGTTAGATCTGATTTTTATTTATTTGTTTAATGGCTTGACTTTAAGGTGAAAGAAGGCACAATTTCGCGACACTTTAAATGCAAAAATCAAATGTCAGTGACAACAAAATCTGAGTGCATCAACAACCTAAAGTCTTTTTTTTTTTTTTTTGCACATAAAGTTGAAGGTATGCTGGAACGACCGCCTGCTCGCGGTTTGCAGCAAATTAAATCTCACTAAACATATAATTTATTTGATTTGAATAGTTACGTAATCATTTGTGTTGCTAATTGTTAACACGGCCTTTTGGCTGAAGGCAAGGAAATGAAACAAAAGCTGCAACGTTACCATTTTCTTTTTAGTGAAGCTGGTGACTTTATTGCCCAGTGATTAACACTGATAAACGTGTCTTCTCTGGAGGGAAATGACACGGCCGCTCCTCGTTTCTGCGAGAGGAAATCAACAATCAAAGGACGTGGAGTAAAGACAAAAGTGGTGAGTAAAGGCTACCCTGCTAGAAGAACAGCAAAACCTCTACTGATTTGATTTCATGTCATCGTTTTAAAGATGTCAATTTGTTAAATAATCCTTAGTGCAACTAATAAGTCTGAAAAAGACAGACTTTTTTTCCACTTTTTTAGTTGTCTGTTTCTGCACTTTTGCTTAAATGAATTTAATTATAAATCAGTACGAGTTGTTTTGGAGTATGTGGATTTTCAGTGCATCAGACTGACCTCACTTTTCAATGAACTTACAAAAGTATCCATATTTTATGTTGTACATCAAAAAATGTTGATTATATATTCCTCTCTTCAATGGAGTAAATATTAAAGACTTTTTAAATATTTAATATGGGCGGAAAAACTACCAATTAATCAATTTATTTCCGCTATTGTGGGTTATGTTGGGAAAATACCAATACATATTGCAAAACAAGCACAACAAGAAAATTATCATTCTTTTAAGTCCTGTTGAAGACGTTGCTGGAGTTTTGAGCTGCACTTTTAGTTCAGCAAAACAGTTTCATTTGCCCAGATTTTCTTTTTGTTTGTTTGTTTGTTTTTAGGATTTTTTTTTTTAAATTTGTAACTATTTTACAGTTTTAAAGCAGCATAAAATATTAAATAACTAAAAAGGGGAGAATGTGTCTTAGGTTTGAAGACAATATCTTAAAAAGAATAGTAGAAATTGTATCAATTTTAAGAATATCTTGTTTTTTTAGCATTTAACTTGTAGGTTTAAGAACGGACATGAACCCTGGTTCATTTTTTTAAAGCACAACCTTCAACATTTCGAGCCTATCCACATAAACCTGCTTATCTTTGAAGGCCCCTTCAATGTCCTTCGGTTGAAACCACAACAATGTAACTGACTCCGTTCAGGAACATTTTACCGTTACCGTAATATCGGTTTATAGAAATAAGGACTCGTGGATATTTTAGTACGTATTGTCAAAATGCTGTTTTAAAGACAAAACGGTGAAAACGCGACCGAATCTATTGTTCCATTCATCAACTCACCAAATAGTAGCATCAACTCAAGCGGACGTAATAAAGGGAGCCTAAAACGCTACTGACGTAGATTTAACATTTCTATTAAACAGTTGTTGGAAAATGGAGAATTAGAAGAAAAAAAATGCAGTCGGCTCCAAACTGAAATTGTTCGTAAAAAAAAAAAAAAATAAATAAAAATTAAAAACAAAAAGAGACGCCATCTTATTTCGGTTCAGTTAGCCTGGACCAAAAAAATAAAAAATCATTCACCTATCCTATCGCTTCATGCTACTAGCATGCTCCCCTGTGACCAAAAATACAGACATGGAACCTATGGCTTCTATTGGGCATATATAATTCTACAAATATTCAAAGCATCAAATTATATTCAGCCCTGTTGGATAAGGGACACCAAAATGGTCGAGGAGACAGGAGAAAGACCCCAGGAATCTCCGACCACATTTAGCTGTAGCACGTTAGCTTTCCCGACCCCGACCAGTCGCAAATACCAACGGCTGAGGCACACGAATAAGCACAGAAAATAACAAAAATATCACCATTGTGGTCATTTATAAGCATGTACATTCTTATGTTATATTACAAATATGTCGGGGACTTCGTCTACACCTTATATTTTTGACACTTACATATATACGTTTTCCACTCACGAATCGTGCCACCGTCGAAGCAGACTAGCTCAAATTCTAGTCTGCAGCGCAAGCGTAGAGGGAGACGCCCACGATCCCGAAATCACTTGCACTCATTGGACAAACTGTGGGCGATGCTATGGTCTCAGCCAATGAAAAATAGGGATTTGTAGCTCAGGGGTGTGGCTAAACCTCAAAACATGGCGATCTACCAAGTCGTCATTATTTACCCCCGCCCACCTCCAAAAGGCAGAAGCTGCAGAAAGAAGAAAAGTTCCCTAGAAACCACTTGTTTCTTTGTAAAAATAAAATAAAATAAAATAAAATAAAATAATAAAAAGATATGTTTTTTATTACATCTTACTATGTAATTTTACTTCAATAGTTACTGCTGCTGCGATAAACTAAGTTAATAAAGAATGAGAACATTTCTCTAATAAACATTAAATAAAACGTCTGCAATGTCTACAATGTGACAGAGATATATGTGGAAACAAATTTTATGTCGTGTATGGTTTCTTTGATTATATATTTTGTTTTGCAATGTCTTAATATATTCTGGGCAGATGTCATTTGCCCAAATTTTGGGTTTCAATGTGTCAAAATATGGAAAATAGCGTATTTTTACCCTTTTCCATATTTTGGGTGTAGATTTTTAAAAAATGATTGTATAGTTATAAAAAAAATATTCTCACTTTTACAAAGGAAAAATGTAATGATTAAAACAAGGTTTGCTTCTTGTTTCTAGAAACAACATTCCATTCTTTAGAACTCAGAAGAAGGTGACACAAGGAATAGAAGAAATCACTTTTAATAAGCAGTTTTACATTCTTTTTTTTAAACAGCATCACATTCAGTCAGCTTCACTTCACCGCTCCAGACTTATGGGGAAAGCAGATGCACAATACTTACATTCACTACATTCCTGTCACAGGACTACACGGGCTACACACGTTGTAATTTTCACATCTTCATGCTGAGGTAAAAGCTGATCCTTTTACTCTCATGTGAACACTGAGACAAGTCGCTGACTTTTACAGAGTCGCACAAACAAACCACTATTTACACTGAGATGTTCTCTCTAAGACTTTTGGAAGTCTTACTTCAAAAACAAATACAAATATATTAAAGTTCAGACAAAATGGTTTCTATTTACAGTGATACTTAAACATTTTTACATCCTTTAAAAATATTAAGCATTAGGTATGTTCTTAGAATGAGAAACAAACTTACAGACAATAGAGTACAAGTATTTTTAAGTGTGAATATACATCACCCCTCACATCTTAAAAAACGCTACATAAATTTCATTTATTATTATTATTTACGGTAAAGATGTGTTAAATCCTCAAATTCTTAGAGTCTTTGAAAGAGAAACAGGCCCACAGCATTACAGATCCTCTACTGTATCCTCCAAAAATGTGTGTAGCCTCTCGCAGTTGCTATGGAGACTCTGCTGTTTGTTGCAGTTCTTTAGCAGTGAGTTTTGAAGATTTCTTTCACCTCTTTTTGTGGTGGGATTAAAAATAATCTGCCTCTGCTCCACATCATGCATAAACGCTTCTGTTTTATTTGAGAGTTAGAGGAACCATTAACTGTGAAATCTATAATTTTGTGGAAAATAATTATTATTACAGGATTTTCCTCTTAAACATCGTAAATATGTTCAAATACAATCTGCTTTTTTTTTTTTTTTCAATTTTCTTTTTGGGATCAGCTGATGCAATAAATTTATTTGAAAGTGTTTAAACATCTTTACCAGGGGTGCCAAAAAATATATAGGGTGCTTTTTATGCTAAGTAAATAGATTCAGTATTAAGTGTTTATTCCCTTTCTCTGAGCAGAATAGCTTTAGTTCCCGGATTTCTCTGGCTTTCCAAATCTCTCCAAGTTTTTCCCTTCTTCAGCATTAGCATTACTTGTTAAAACATTCATCTTCAATTTAGCTTTCAATGCTTACGTTCATTGTGTTTAAAGGTGATCAACATGCTCTTCAGATTTTTGCCAAGTAGGATTTCCAAACATTTCGCTGGTACAAGCCAGAGCTAATGATTCTTCCGAACGTGAAAAAACATCTTTGACTAAGCGAGTTTAAGCTAAGATTCTTAGCTCAGTTTTGAAAAACAGGACAGAAAAATTATAAGACCACAGACACAATTTGCAGATAGTTTTACACACACACACACACACACACACACACACACACACACACACACACACACACACACACACACACACACACACGCACTGCTGGGCTTTTTTGTTACCTCAAATGCTGCTTCTATGCTGTTGGGACAGTGTTGTTTACGTGCTAATAGCTAATGCTAGCTAGGGTCAGCACAGACAGTTTGCCCAAAGAAATGGTCATAAGCTTGTTATGAACACACAATATTTTAAACAGTGTTCTATACCGAACATGAATATTTGTAAATTATTGTTTCTGCCAAAAAAAAAAAAAAATCATATTGGACATCATTAGGTTTTTGTTTTAACTCCCCTTATCTATGTTTAGCTTTTCTTTGAGTACTCTGGCTTCCTCCTACCATTTAAAAATGTGCATTGCATGTGTGGGTGCATTGCTGTTTGTCTTGCTCAACTTCATGTTGCTTTATTACAGGGTGGTTACCTTCCCAAGTGGTATTTTGCCTCTTGCTCATTGACCCCTGGAATAACCAGTCCACCCACCTGTTCAACCCCAAAATTCAACCTTTCTTGACTCTTGGTTATGCTTTCTTTTATTCCTTCTTCAAAACTACAGCTTGTTCACTTTAACCCTTTCTTTTTTGAGTGGAAAACCAAACAACCCAAGCCGGTTGAATTAAATCAATCCACTTTGGACCTGGGATTATGTTAAAGAAAATTGGGCTGTTTTCGCAGTTTTGACCTCATATGTAGACCTAATTTCTTAATTTTTTCTACCTGTTGCTCATTGAGACTAAAAATAAGTGCTGGTTTTGTTTAATATGTCCACAAAACATATTTCTAAATGTTTTCTCACTACTTCATAGATCAATCTCCATAAGCCCACCGTGAGCAGGATCATTGCTCGTGAGTTACAACACAGCTAGTGTGAGAGATGTCTTGGTGACATCGCTTTCTGTTTCTGGAAGGGATCTTCATTTGCTAACCATTTAAAGGTAGTAATATCAACCATGGGGATTTTTTTTCTTCTCTGTCTGAGCTACTGGAAGTACCAACTCTGGTGCTCTTGTCTTCAAATCTTTAGAAATCTTCTTTGTTAGTTGAATATTGCACTTCGGCACATTGCATCAAGAAGATCGGTCTTTCCTGTTTACAAACACAAGAAACTCAGTCACAACTCGAAGTTTAGATCACGGGAACCATCTGGCATTAATCTGAAAATATGTAATTGAACATCAAAAGATTTCCAGACTTTTAAGCCCCTTTGTATTTGTGCTTTCAGGAAGGAGAGGCTGCCATTGCACTGTAATAAACCAGTAGCAGTTTTCATTCAGTCCTCTTTTTTGTGTGGTATATATGCTCATACATAGGAAACCTATGTATTTTAGCCATTTTTTGGTCTTCTTTGCACACAAAGAAACCAAGGGAGGCAGACTTTATGACTGTTTCATTAGTCTCTTGTTAAGTATTTTTCACCGGCATACTGTCCGGCTTCTGGAGGGAGCTAACATCCCAACGGCCGGAGCGAAAGGTGCTCCCCTTGAAGCTGGCCTGCTTTTTGGTGATGCGGTAGATTTTTCGGAGGATGGCCCGTCTCAGCAGGATGTAGACCCAGGGGTCCAAGATTTGATTAAAGGTGGCCATTCTTACGCCAGTCATCATGAGTTTGCTGTAAGTGCAGGTGAGTTCCTCGCCCAGGGAGGGCTTGGTGTAAGAACGTGCAGCTGACATCAACGAAAAGACCTTAAGACAGAAAAAAAGACCCAGTGATGAGTAATTCTGTGTTTTTGCATCTCTTTACCTGTTGACACTCAATCTCTTAAAGTAACTCACAAGGCTCTTCTCTAAAATCACCCAAACTCACTTCAGATATTGAACCGTAAAACAATATCAATGTGAGTTTCGTTCCTATAATTTTTTTTGTAAAACTGAATTTTATTACAAGAAAATCAACCCTACCGAAAACAAGCTTTCACCCTATCATGTGTGTGATGACATCATAAACGGTACAAGGCAACAAAGAATTTACTTTTAGGCATTTTATTTAGTTTTTTTTTCCTTGTGTAATTTATTCGTTTTATTCAAACGTCTCCTTCGAATGTGTTAACTTTTATTTTGTGTAGTTAATTTTAAGGTTCATTGAAAAGCCCTAAATGTCCTCTCCAGATACCAAAAGGAATTAATTCAGTAGAATGCAGGGGGTGGGAGATATTCAAGTTTAAATGTCCTCTACAGAGGACAAAAATGAACTACTGGTAGTCAGGAGGTTAGGAGTTGAGGAACTCATTTCTAAAAACTGAGATTACAAGCAATACCAAATGAGAAATACAACAACGTTATCGGGCTAACTGTTTATGTCCTGACTTGTTATCAGATTTTACTGAAAAACAGTTTGGACTGACACTGCTTCTTTCTCTTTTTGGTTTTTATTTATTAAAAAAAAGAAAACAGAAATAAAATGGTGGTGCCTAAAAAAATAACAAAAAATTATTGTAGCAGATATTTACCAAAAATTATAACAGGTCATTGTAGAACACTGATCTATACAATGTTCATGTTATAAAACCTTTATTGTCATTAGCTTGTGAAAATATAACTTTATTGATTACATTTGATTGCATTTCCTCTTTACATATGAAACTGGGGGGTTTATGTATATTTTCTATTTTAAACCAATATTTTTTGTTTTCCTGTTTTAGAAATATCTAACTTCGAATAGAGGAATTTAACGTTTAATTTATGATGTTTGATTTAATGTTAAACCAAACATATAAAGTCTCATTTGAGTACTATAAGCACATCTGAGATAGTGATAGATTTCTCCAAAAAGAAAAACACTTTTTTTGCATTTAAAATTCTAATTTTGGGAAATTTAAATTAGCATTTTATTTTCCCAAGTTTTTAAAATCCTTTTCGCATTTGATTAAAATAAAGAAATAGTTCATGGATGAACATAAAGTTCAATCCAGAAATTGAACAGCATTATTCAGGAACAACAATTTTGTTTTCAATTCTATGTTAATAATGACTAACTTATCAATGGTTTGACTTGATTAATTTGAGCTTCCATTCCGTTTGACACTCACCAGCAGAGGGCTCCAGCAGATGCAGGAGGTGACCATGATGCCAACCAGCTGGACCACCATCTCTGTGTCATGAGACCTAGCAGAGAACCTCTGGGAATAGGAATTCTTCTTTAGCCGGGCTCTAATGAGCGTCATCCCACTGATGGTGTTGCAGATGAAGGCCAGCCCAAGAGAGCTCAAAGCCAGTCCAGAGAACAGCATCACGAAGGTCAGATCTTTGGCATTTGTGTCCATCACCTTAATAAAGCACCAAGTACCAGGGTACTGGTAAGTGTAGTCCCCTAGTTGGAAAACGGGCAGCAGGGCCACGCATAGAGCCAGGAACCAGATCATAGAAAGGGCTATTTTGGTCCGCGCTGTTGTCACCAGCCGAGCGTGCAACAGAGGCTTGGTGACGCCGAGGCATCGCTCGGCAGCCATCGCACAGCCCAGGAAGAGCGGGCACAGCCCGAAGAATACCATGCACCCTCCCAGAAACTGACATGGGCTGTCTGGGTCTCTCGGACCGTCCAGGGACGTCAGATTGGCCGTGGAGTATCTCCTCAGCACCAGTCCCCCGGAAACCACGTGTCCCGTGAGGTCCGTGACGACGAGGGAGCTGGCGAAGAGCAGGAATGTCGCTTTGGACCGCCGCCGGAAGCGGGTGTAGGCCTTGATGAGAATGATGAGGGCCACCACATTGAACAGGATGCCCAGAGTCATCGTGAGGCTCGCAATGATGGGGTTCGAAGGAACACTGTTATACGGGCAGTCCACTTCGGGTACCATGGTGCTGCTGTTGACGTTGGAGTTGAATCCTGAAGAGTTGGAGTCCGGTTTAACCTCCATGACAGCTGGGTTCCGGGTTTCATGTGGTTCCTTTAGGTGAAGCAACACTGACATGGGAGAAAGACAAAGAGTCATTGGACGTTGTACGGTATCAAGGCAAGACTTCCTTGTTTTTGTCTACACAGATTGTATTAATCTGCACCCAGAGGAAGGTAGAGTTGTCAAAAATTGTATTCAAGTAAGAGTGGCAATACTTCAACATATTTTCACTCAAGTAAAAGTAAAATGTTACAAGATACTGCAAGACTAAAAAAGTATTTGGTGAAAAGGTAACTCAAGTACTGAATAACTGATTGGAAGATCAATCGTTTAATATTTAAAAATTACTCCTATAGGTATATAATATGGTAAATATTTGGCAAAAATTGCCAAAATATGCCAAATATTGAAATTTTTCTCATATTTTTTATATGGCAAAAATATAAAGTTATGTGGAAATGTGCTAAACCAAAAATGATATAATTCTTAAAAAATACCAGAGTAATAAATGATCAAACTCAGGCAAAAGAAACATTTTTCCAAATCAACTTTTTTCAATATGCATTTTTAAGAAAAACTGCAAGTTTAAATAAACATTATTCAGTGTTACTGAAACTGGGTAAAGTTCCCAAAATTTTTCTGGAGTACTGATAGGCTACTTCATAATAAAGTTATTCAAGTAAAAGTACAGCATAGTAAAATATACTCCTAAAAGTTACTCAAATAAATGCAACTAAGAAAAATGTAGCTATAACCCAACTCTGCCTGCGCCCCTCTGCTAAAGCTACTACCGTGTACTGTAATCTATTTTCAATAACAAATGTTCATTAACTACAAAACCCAACTGGGAGATAAAGTATTGCTTTCCAATACAGGGTGTCACAAAATACAAAGCTTTTCAAAAATTTACTGAACAAATTCTGCTGCAGGTGGGCTTACAAGAGGCACAAGAACTGAGCTGATCTACATTCAGTAGCAAACACTGCAGTGGACAAGTGGGTTTTCACAGATTTCGACACCGATCCTGAAGCATTAGAGTTTGAGTTCGCTATGCTCCTGCAGAGTGAACTCAAACTTTCACTAAACCTCCTCCCAGCGTTTCATTGTTGACAAATTTCCCTGAAAGCCAGGCAGCGTTCCCAACTATTACTTAATGTTTGCTGCAGTTGTACAGAATACAAGAAAACACATTCAAAACAGGAATATGATCTGAAAGTCTGTGAGAAAAGAGGGAAAATATGGAGCTAAACTGGGGCCATAAAGTTTATTAAACTTGTTTTGAATGTGAAAAGAAAAACATTTGAAACTGAAAAAAAGTTCTGAAACTGAAGAAAAGATTTGAAAGTTAAAACTTATTTTCAAGCTGAAAGAAAAATAAACTGAGGGAAAAAGAGGATTTGAAAACAAAACGAAATTTATTTTATGAAGTTGGAGAAAAAAAGCTTAGAAACTGAAAAACAATTTTGATACTGGACAAAAACTTGAAATTGAAAAGTAATTTTGAACTTATTTCAGCTGAATATTTTTTCCAGTTTCAAATAATCTTTTTAGTTTCAAAATAAAATTGAAAAAAACAAACAAAAAAAAAACTTTATGGTCACAATTTAGCTCCATTGAAATCAAAAATCATGTACTCGAAAGAACTTTTATGATTTATCTTGTGCCTTATGTCAAGTATAAGGCACAAGATAAACCTGTGGAAACCTGTTTTTGGGAGGGTAGGGTTTTATCTTCATTAAATTGATTTTACAGAGCAAATAGCTTTAATCCCTCAGTAAAACCTCGACCTTCCAGTCTTTTGAAACATAAGCCACGTTGAAGTTTAAGAGACAGAAACATCAGGACGGATAGGACACACGTCCAGAGGCGAAAATATCTCCAACCCCACCCTCTGCATTGCCACCTGCACGTAAAACTTTCCAGCATTTTTGTTTTGTTCGCAGAAAAACTAAAACATTTTTTTTTCTTTCTCTATCTCCTTTTTGCCTCTAAGATCTGTCGATGGTTATCACAAACCTTCAAAACCACATGGACATACTTTAGACATTTGCTTAAAAAACACAAAAACAAAACCTAAACTGTGCGAGTTTTTTTTTCTTCATAACGAGGGAATCCTGAACAAGTCCCGACAGCTATGCTGCAGAGCACAAATCACACATTCCATTAAAATGTAGCAACGAACTGCAGAGACAGGAGTATAACAATAAATTAAAATTCAGTCCAAAATGTCAAGCAAATTATATTTCTATTCATTTTTTGCAATAGCAATTTCTAAATTTTTCTCAAAACAATTCCATATTACAACTTCTTACTTTAATGTTTCATTAGAATATATTTTTTAATATTGTTGGAACACGCGTAAGACGCATTCTCGTGACATATTTAAATTAAATATTTTGCGTTAAAAAGTTAACAAACGGGATGAAAGCGGTAAAACTGAGAATTTAACTAAATTTTCTTAGGGAACATTAGCATTAAATACAGTTTTTTTTTATCTTAAAAGGAGGGGGAACAAACATAAACTTGAGTAGTTATTTCACCTACCATGTAAAAATAAAATCCATGGAGATGGACTACTGATGGGAGTTTGATAAGTCCGTTAAAATTGCCAAAACTAGCGCCGCTGCGGCTCAGGAACTCAGTGAATCCAGGTTTTCCAGAGATGTCCCGGCGTGAAACAAGCCGTTTACCTGAAGCGTCTCCTCGTTAGGCGGCAGAAATCCCTAGACAGGCAGCTTACCCGGATGCACCGCACGAGCGCGTGTGGTGTTCCTGTGGAGCTGACCGGCCTTTTTATACTCCGCAGCTGCAGTGCGCTTCCGTCGCCTCTGGGTGTCTCCGTCACTGAAAAGCCCTAATTCTCCCCCCCTCTCCTAGGCAGACACTTTGTGAGTTATGTGGATCGAAGAGTCAGGCAGGGAGACGAATAAATCCTTAAAGTCCATCTAACTCCAACTTCACCTCTCTGATCATTATAGACTATCAAACCTCTTTAGCTAGCTTCTTTTATAAAGACTACAATTTTTACGAAGTGATGCACAAATTGTGTAAAGACATGAAAAAGTGAGGGGTGTGTGTGCTGTGAATCTTTGGCTTTTACATTTTCGTACATCATATAAATCTAACATGTGTCTTGGTTTGCCACATAAATTAGTTTTGGTCTGATTGTGGTTGGTATTTTATTTTATTTATTTTTTTTAGCTGATGTCAACAATTAATTGAATTCGTGTTCTTGTTCTAAAAATAAAAAGAACATTATCATGACCCATACAAAGGCTGAGTCACAGATCAGCCAGACTGCATTCCGTCAACAATCATCATTAATCAGTAACAGTTAGAGCCAGATGCACGAGGCAAAACCACAGATTACAAAGGAATCGATGGTTTTATTCTATTATTTTACAAACGAAACCCAGCTGGAACGTATGCAGTTGTGTTTGATAACACCAAATAAAATCCAGCCCAATGAATCACCTTCAAAAGTCATGAAAATCTTTAATTAGGCCTTGAGGCGAAATCGTTTAATTTTTGATAGTTTTGTGCCCCCCTGTTCCATCGCTTAGTTTTGTGTTTTATTGAGTTTCATATCTTTCACTATTCTACTTTTTTTCAATTTAAGACAGTATTATCTACGGGCAATCTGTAGAGATAAATGCACTTTATGCATTTGCTATTGTACTACATCTTTAATGTATTTTTCATTTTTTGCTCTGTTATGTATTTTTTTTTTCTTGTTTTTCATTTTGTGACGGCCATGTTGTGGTCTCTCATGTCCTTATGTGTTAAAATTCAAAATCTGTATATAAATCAGGCTAAAACGATAAAAGTAATGAAAATATCAGTAAAATACAGCTGTTCTGTGAAGATTCAGATGTAGGGAAGAAAAGTAGCCTTGTGAGGATATGGCTTGTTTTTTAGACATACAACACTGACCTTTTTATCCTGTGCAATTAAATGTGATTTTTTTTTTTTTAAATCACTAGCAAAAATTGTGCTATGACCATCTAGTGACCCAAGCCAAAGCAATCAGCACTGTACTGCAAAAACAGACAATCTTACCACATATTTTTGGTATAGATTCTAGTTAGTACACTTAAATTAAGACAAAGCTAACTTACAAGTAAGTAGTTATAGGAGCTTGTTTTAAGTCAACAATTCCTTAATGTTGGTGAAAAAGTTCTAGTTCCACTGACAGGTTAAAACATAAATATCTTGCTATAAGTGAAATAATGTACCAGTGGAACCAATACGTTTTCATCAATATGTTCACTTGAAACCTCTTGATGAAGAGCTCATTGTAGCTCAGTTTTCTCTTATTTCAAGTGTATTTGCACCATAAACTAGACCAAAAATGCCTGGTAAGATTTTCTGTTTTTGCAGTGTCAGTTGATTCCTTCTTTAAGGCATCAAATTTAGCTTAAAAAGTGGTGCTGTTTTTGTTGTTGTTGTTGTTTTGTTTAACAAGGCCCAGCATTGCCTCAGAACAAACGCCGCCTGCCGTCCTGGACCCAGCAGCCCTGAGCAGTTCTGCGGTCAGCGTCCAGATGTGGACCAGCTCTGTTCTCCCTCCACTACAAACACCTCTCCGCCTGCTGCAACCTGGAGACGCAGCTGCGATCGCAAATGATTTCATGGTTGTTGTTTTTTCCCCCCATATAGTCAGGAATTTTCCAGTCCTCTGCTCCTTCTAAGAACGCAACAGTCGAACAATAATGGTTCAAATATGTAACAGGAAATGGATTTAGAAAACCTGAAAAAAATAAAATAAAAAATAAAAAACAAGGATGAAATGATTCAGAGAATCATCCCAGATGCCTCCAGAAAGGTGAAATCCCCTCCACCGTTGAGAAGGAAGTCTTAATATTCTGTCAGCTCACGTCAAAACAGTGTGAGGAATCTGCTGCTAAATGATAGCTCTGAGATACACAACGCGACTCTTTGTTTAAACACACCCAGTTGGAGAACTAAACCAGGGACTGGTGTGTGTGAAGGTCAGTGGATTTCAACAACAACAAAAGTATGTATAAACCAAAGCATAGAGTTTTGCTTTCGCCTGTTTTCATATGAAGCCGGTCTGAACGAGTTAGGCGCAGCAGGTGCAAGTTGGAGCAAATAATGGAAGATGGCGTCTGATTCAACTCCACCTGACCCCATTAGGGCAGCCTGGGAGAAAGAGCGGGCGGTGTGCTGATAAAGCCGGCCATTAGGATGGAGACAGGAACTCCTCCTCGGAAAAGAGCCGATTATTTGCGAGTGTATGTGAATAAACTTCATCAGGACTTACATAACAATGTTTTTCGAATGTCTGTGACAACAAATGGGCTTGTTTTGTTTTCCTTTTTTTTTTAATCAGAGAAATCTCCTTTTAAGGGTTTCTATGTCAATGACTATGAGGTTACTCTGAAGCAACTGGTAACTTTTTACATTTTTGTATTGGATGTTTTCTTAATCGCTCTATAATAAAATGCAAAAATAGTAAGCAAATCCCTAAAAACAAAAGGGCAGTGGGAACCAAATAAAATATCATTTGGAGGTCTTGTTTTGTTTTTTTTCTCGTCAGGATGTGTGCCGTTTTCTTCCTGTGTGAACAGAAAGACAGAAAACCACAGAGTGTGTTACCCTGTGTGGCAGACAGTTGGAGATGTCAGGTTTTTGGATTTTCAATTTTCGGTACAAAAATTTGCTCAACGATGCTGTGGCGAAGAAATTCCCCCCTTAGAGAGTTCCTCTGTTCTTGGTTTTTTGACCATGAAGCAAATTCTTATGCAAGGCAAATAGAACCAGAGTACAAATGTAGAAGACAGTTTTCAAATAAGGATTTAATTTATTAAACTAAAAGTCAATTTAACCAACCTGGCCTGATGTGGAAGGTATTTGCCACGGAAGTCTGACAACAGGAAGCAGGTTAGAAGAGTTACAACACGATGCCCCGAGTTAAGGAAACTTAAGGACAAATGGGAAGCAAATTCATTGACATTTATCAGTCTGGAGAGTCGTTTCAAAGGCACTGGGACTCCAGCTTGGGTTGAAGTTTAGTTTGGTTTGGAGAGCACACAACGGATGAAAGTGGGACTACATTTTTCTTTTCCAACAATCAAAACTTACCGTGTGTGTATTTAATGACAAAATTAAAAATGAAAATCAGTCAAAAAGTTTAGGTAATGCCAATCAGAGCTAGCATTAGGGAATAAAAACAACCTCCAAAGCTATGCAGACATATTACATCATGAAGGGAAAGGATAATGGTTTTAGATTTTTTTTTTCCAGCTATCGTTTGGACACTCCTCCTCCTACATGCCTCATCCTGTCCCTCTGTTACGACTCCACGACCTCAACTAACACCGTGTTTGTCTGCTACTTAACGTCATCGATGATAAACTTATTCCCAGTCTTAGAACACAAATGAAAATGAACTTAAGAAAAGCACACAGGAAGTGACTGACTGACTTTATTTGTTGTTTTTTCTTGGATAGTTTTGATATTCAGATATGATCTTTTTTTCTTTTTTTTTACTTTGAACAGACTTTCTCCTAAAATGTTTCCTTTTTGCAATAAAGAATTGTGACGGTCACTGATTTGAACTGATCAGGCAGATTAATCATTGATGTGTGTACCGTGTAACGACAGGCTGCATTTAATGTTCTGAGTCCTGTGAACACACCCAAAAAACACAAACACACCCTATGCAAAGTCTGCATATAGAGGCATGAAGGCAGAGCTCGCTAACCTGCTGTAGTCATTCTGCTTGGTCCTGTGTTGTTATGACCTTGGTTCCTCCACCATGGAAAAAAATCTGCTAAATTGCTGCATTTTGCTAAATTCTGCACTAACCTTTTAGGTTTTTTTTCTCCCTAAGTTTTTCAGCCTCCTTTCTGCTTTCTGTATGGAATGTTGGTTCATTTAACCCGCTCCTCTTTATTGCTCTTTTTTCAAATCATGATGAGCTGATTCTCCCTTTATCTTCCTTTAGCATGCAGAATAAAGAACTCCCAGAACAGCCTTGATTCTCTTTCGGGTGGTCTTGATCGTCAGCGTCAACCTGAGTTTCCTCGACTGGCTGACCATTGTTCCCAGTTTGGCCTGCTTTGACGACTCATCGATGGGCTTTCTGTATCTCCGCGGCTCCGGAGCTGAAGAAGCTAAAGTGCTCGAGATCCAGGAGAAGAAGGAGACCGGACAAGCCCCCAAACTCACGAAAGGCGTGAATAAAACTGATACGCTTTATTTTTGTGGGTAAATAAAACAACAAAAAAAAAAAACGCATTTCGACCACCGGCTCCTTCAACTTGGAACCGACCGGCCTATCGGGAAACCTCCCTAACCTCCCGACGGCCCGGAATCCGGTGAACCTCTGTGAGAGCCATCAAGTACAAATGAAGAATTCCCTTGAAACTTAACCCAAGAGGACATCAACTGAGTCAGAAAAGAACCCAGAACAACATCCACAGCTCTTCAAGCCTCAGTTAAGGTCAGAGTTCATTATTTGACAATAAGAAAGAGAGGCTGGGCAAAAATGGCCTCCATGGGAGAGTTCCAAAGCAAACAAAAAGCACTGTTTTTTATAAAGAATGCGAGGCCTGTCTCGCATTTCCCAAAAAAACAACATCTTGATGACTGACAAGAGAATTGGGAAAATATTTTGTAGACTAGAGAGGAAAAAGCTACAGCTGTTTAGAAGGTGTGTATCCTCTCACATCTGACCTGAAACTAACAGAATGGTGCACAAAACGGGGGCAATTCCTCCTGCGGGACTCATCAATGAACTGCTGAGGTAACTTTACCAGGTCATCACCAC